CACACAGCTCGTTCCAAGCTGTGTGCAAAAATTAAAATTTTCTTAATTAAAAGCTTAATAACTGTTAATTAAAAGCCTAATTAAGTAGTGCTCAATATTCAATAGTGTTCTAATTCAAAGCCGTGTCGTATTCCAATACAGCTCACACAGTGATCGGAATTTGAACACGTGGATGTCGGAATTACATATTAGTACAATTTGAAGCGCGGTCGGAATACGTCTCACCACGTGCCAAATATAGTCACACACAGTGTCAAAATATAGGGATTTGGTAGCCTCACCAAATGGTAGCCTGGTAGGTTTGCATTCTAAAGGCTTTTAAATAAATATGGCAACATTTTGTGACATTTCATCATTGCTGGTACGTAGTATGGTGTATTGAGAGTCACCTAAAGCAAACAGAACTAACTTGAGTAATGCATACGCCATACGGTTATTTTATTATAGTTTTTAATTTCTGGATGCGTCCTTAATATGTCGGAATATACAGCGTTTACCCTATTTACAGATTGGGTTTTGGAATAAAGCACAATTAGAAACATCATAATGGTAGTAACCAAAATCTTGCAGCATTGAACTTTTTTTTTCATAGTTAGGGTTAAGACTTGTGGCAACAAATGCACCCACCAGCCTGATCTCTGTCAGAAAGCATTGAACTATCAGTATCCAAGCAAATATTTTGACAAAAATGGAAATCTTGGACTCAATGATAATTCCCAATGCTCGACTATCATCACATTTCTCTATAATTAGAAAAATTTCAAATTCAAGGTTTCTGTGTATGAATTGCATTAGTTAAATAATATTGAATGATTACCTATAACTCTATATATAGTATAAGCTATAATTATTCAAGTAATTCAACAGCCATGCTGCCATAGCAGACCGCTGAATTCTGAAAGGGAACAAAATGCTTTCCACTTCGGCACTTCCAGAGTTCCAGTGTTGTGTAATGAACATCAAAGACAATCATTACAAACTCAGGCTGTAAATGGATTTCTAGGGAATATCTCTCTTAAGAAAGTAACCATTCAGCTCATAGCCTATTGCTATGATAGACTATAGTCAAATTTACCTAAAACTATCCTCAGGTGTTTTAGTCTGGTGGGCGTATCTTTCTTTGGGTCCACACATTTCTGTTGGCTTTTCTTCACATCGGCGGAGGAAGTGTTCTTTTTGAACATTATTCAATTTTCATGCTACCTCAAATGGTGAATAGAATGCATTACCATAACAAAATGAACCATCACAGACACGACGCAACCAGGGCTTTCATCGTATTCTGTGGCACCAAAACAGGCAGCAAGTTCATCATATACAATGTGTTCGATTCCATAGACAAAGGTATTCGAAAAAGTGAAATTATTGAATTTGCTGTGCCTATTTTTTTAATAAGGGGACATAAAACAAGTAGGACTAATATTTTTCATACATGCATACAATAGCTAATATGTCTTAAACTTGAAACATGTGTGATCATTATATGAATGAAACAGCAGAGCAGCAGAGATATTCGTGACTGGTCCTGGCTCAGAGAAATTTTAGTAGGAAAAACATTATTATGTGTTTCCTCAAAAAAGTTACTTGAAAGAATGATCTAATGACAATGAAAATGCGAAAGGGGCAATTTAATTAAAATACGGAGTCGCTTGAGATGAATCGAACAATTGCAACATAAATAATAAAGCAAACATTTTGGGGGTTCATTAATTTCTTCTTTTTAATTGCGCCCGAACAATTCATACATTTTGATATTCCGCTTCATACACTTTCTTCAATTTTACTTTTTGCTGGACAGATAGCGCCTTTTAAACAGCGCTAGGCAGTGTTGATTGCAATTCTGAAATTCTTTCGTAAACTTTTTTCATTTAGTTTCTAAGTATCAACATCCGCACTATCGAGAAAATCATAGCAATAGCCGTCACAATAATGACTAAATGCAGAACAAGCGGATGGCGCTCGACTTAATGAGTAAATGTTGTTAAAATATATATTCCTTTCTTATTCGTCGGTCGACCCTGGATTACTTCAACGCGATGCCAAGCTGTAACAAATTCGGACATTGACTTCTTGTAATGGAGTTTGCATTCCCACACTCCTGCGTCACTTAACATAGCTGAAGTGATGACCATGGAATCTTCTGTTCTTATGTCTACATTTGGAATAGTTTAGTGGATCTTGCCATCGTGATACCATTCCATGACCAGGTCATATTCTTAGAAAAGTTCAAGACCAGAACTGCCACATCGCAAAGAAAAAGTCTCGCCTTCATGGACAACCAAGGTGTTTTTCGGGGTCTCTACCGTTACACCTATGATGAGAAGAATTTAGTCTATTCCCGAGGTAAGCGTTACTAAGAATGACCACACTCCGGAATGCCGTGGAGCGCTATCATAAATGAACAAGTCGTCGTCCCGAACTTCTACGTTCAACAGATTGGGTGCAGGTGACATCAAGGAATAAACTGACACAGGAGGTGCAACGTGCTTCGAGTTGTTTGAAGTTATCTTGAAACTATTGAACAACCATGAAAATTAGGCTTATTTATCAGATTATTTGATTTCGTAGTAAGTTTTCATTTTTACTGACAGCATACGAGTTTCACCTGCCGAAAGTCGGACCGAATAATTAACATACAAAATTTGTCGCTTGATTTGCTTAATGATTTCAGAACCTAAAGAGCCACATGGATGCAAATTGCAAGTCCTGGATTCTCGCTGATTGCCCCCACAGGGTATGCCGTACATGGAAGGTGGGGGGTTTTGGCAAAGACGAACTCTGTGGCCCCATCCTCCTCCGCATGAAGCGTTGCAGCTCCAAGGTGACCACGAAGACCAACCTCCCCGTCGAGGAGCGTTGAACATGTCAGGAGGTATATTTTTACACGTTGAGACTACCAAGCCTTTATCTTACTATGAAAATGTCAAGAAATTAGCCTGTAGTTCGGGCATTTTTATGTAGCCATTTAAAACAGCGATTAAACTAGAGGCAGTTCGGTTTATTTGTACATGAAGATCTTTCCTCGTCTAGTGAAGAAACCAGTCACGATTGCGATCCTCGGCGGGGGTTTTATATGATAAAAATTGCAATCTTGCTGGATGTACAATAATTGAAGCCACTTTTTCCAAATTGTATAAAAAATCGATTGTAAAGCCATAAGAGTCTGATGGAGAGTGTTTAAATACGTAGAAATCATTTTTCGATTGAATTTTATAGTACATCACTTCGTTTTTTAGCGGATTGTTCACGCTCTTCTGCGCTTCGAACACTAAACATTTTTAATCGTGTTTGGAGGGTGCAGGAAAATTAATTATTGCAAACTTATTATGTGCCTTAGGATATGGGTAGAGACAGGGCTAAATTTATACGTACTTGAGGGTGTCGGTCATAGGACTGAGTCTGTTCTGGAAGTTTGGTGACAGATTTCCTTCCTCGAACAACTACCAACTTGTGTCAGTCCTTACAAGCTCAAATCTTTTGTAATACGATGCGTGCAAGAGATTCGGAGTCATAAAAACTGATTTCGGGATTCTGTCAGTGAAATTCATTATTGCAGATTCTTCTTCTCCAAGCTAAAACTTGATTTTACTGCCATATTGTCCAGTCAACGTGAGACACATTTTTATTTTGGGGCCTTGATAATTTGAAAGACGAATTCCAAACTTCAAAGTGTGCTTCTCTGTATTCGGTACGAAGTAAATTTTTTGCATATCAGGTTGCCTCTCGTAAGAAGCGTCTATGGGGAAAAGAATAAATTTGTAACCTACTTCATCATTGCATAAGCGTTCCACCTGCTCTACCTAGTCAGCTGTTTCAAGGCATGACGACTTGCATGTCGAGATCATTTCATCGCAAAAATCTTTTGCTCCAAACAGGTCAACGTAACACCAAGGCTTATGAGGATTAACCTTGATGGAAGTCAATACATCGTAGTTGATGTTCCGACAAGTCGTCTGATCATCCGAAGATGTGTACGAAAACGTTCTAGATTCAGGGAGCATCGAAGCGCGTTTAATGGATTCGAAATCTTTGTTCCTCGTAAATTCTTGGAAAGAATTAGGAATTACCACGTTTTCATGGTAGCGCATTGATGTGATTGTCCAGCTGAGGCAGGGCCGCCCAGAGTTTGTAAAAAATACAGAGCCCTTGTAGGCTTCATCTAACGTGGTGCAGAGGGGACGTTGATCGTATGAACTGCGAGAAGGCTCACAACCTTCACCCAATATTTTGAATGTAAGAGGTGTCTTAGAGTGGATCGGCTCTGGATGATAAGGCATTAGTTGCCAGAAACGACCATAGATTCCACGATATGAAGATATCGTTTATTATTTTGCTACCTAAATGTGAAGAAACCTTTCAGTATCCGAAATTTTAATTTCCAGTTTGATTTGAACTGGTCTATCTAAGTCAAATGAGTTCACTTGGATATGTTTTTCAACAACATTTTCACACTCTGGTACGCCATCCAAGTTAATAACTATCAATTTCTGACACAGAATGACGGTGGTAACTTTCTTCGTTACTCCCACGAATACCCCTCTTACAGGGTAGTCGAGTTTCCAACCTCTCGGCTCATAGAAAAGAAAATCGTAAACGTAAAGAGCCGCACTCGCTGGGTAAACTTCTAAATGTAAAGTGCGGTCGTTAGCACCTGGTAAAAGTTCAAGTTTGGGAGGAACTCCTCCTGGTGTAAATGGAAGATCATCTTCTGCTAAGCTAGCATGGAATCTCATGTACTGCCAGATATTCGTTAAGGGCATAACATAATGAATTTGCCTGTAGTTGACGCCATCAAACGGGTAGGGTATGTAACCTTGAAGGCAGTTCTACCATTCTTGGTTGATTCGTTTCAGGGCGAACAACAATGATGATCGTGTATAAGGAGTTTGAGTTATTGTGAAAAATTTAAACTTTTCCCAGGGATCTACATCATAACTATTGAGCGATAGAAGAGAATATTCAGATCCCTCGTAAGACATTTTAAACTTTGTTGTCTTTTTTGTTTTTTGAATTTGTATGTTAAAATGCATCCACTGATACGACATGGAAGTCGGATCGAAGTTTTTTGCTGATGAAGATCGCTCAGCTCTTGGGGTCTCATCACGCGCGACATATTTTTCACGCACTACTGAAAGATCTGATCCTTTGAAGGAAATTGTAAGTTTGGCAGTTTGTGCTGCGTCGTGGGACAAGGTCAACTTCAGCTGGAAGCTGGTCAAGTCAGCTGCGTCCGCAAGTCTCATGGCGAAGGATATGTTCAATTCGTCGCCGTAGGGAGGAATGAAGTAGGCCGTTGGAAGCACATTATTTTATCGATAAATAAATTATGTAATCGGCGTGACTACAATCTGTTTATCTATTCCTTCAATCACTTGTGGTAACTCCAGCCCAGCTCGAAGCGGTAAATCGCAAGGGATTTATTAGTTGTCTATGGTCATGCAGCTAAATCGATTCCAGCGGTTGCGTCTCACGCAAGAACTTGAGCAGTCGTCTTGTTTTAAAAAGGTCACATTACCTTGCATCTCTTCGCCAACAAAAGAAGAAGTGCTTCGGTAAACGCTTCTGCAATACTTTATCGCACAAGACTCCAGCACGGCTTTTCCCTCTTGCATTCGAAAGCACGAGGGCTCGTCGAAAAAATTCTCTTAATTCTGGCACTCAGTCGAATTTTCGAAGCGTTAACCTTAATATTTTGGATCGTCCAAGAACGAATATTTTTAGGAAGGCTGAATTCTAGACGGTACATGGGACCATTAAACGCATTTATGGCCGTGCTTTGTGATGCTTTTTCCCCCGCGGTATTCAACTCCCGCACGCGTCAGCAAACACGGAGCTTGAAAAGCCGGGAGCCCTGGAACCGCGTCCAGACTTGGTATGGAAAACCACCCCACACTGAAGGCCTTGCTATGCGCCGCCAGCGCTGCCGTGCATTGCCATGCGAATATCACACTAAGGGCATGCGATGCCAAGCAACGATGACGGAGTTACATCAGGCTCGTGTTTCTTGAGACTTGAATTTCAGGCGAGAGGACGAGCAGTTTTTGATCAAGGACGGAAACATGGAAATAACTGAAACATATTGCCGCCCTGTTAGTATCATTGATACAATTTCTAATATAGGTTGGATTACTGCTGAAGTTTTTGGGTGAATAATTTTACAGCGTGCTGGCGGTCCAGTGCTACGCACACCACATTTTACATAAAGATTTTTTTCTAAACATAAATGCGTATGTTTCTTTTGCCCGCTATTTTCGTAATGCTCTCGTAATACCAGTTAAATA